GTGTGTGTGTGTGTGTGTGTGTGTGTGTGTGTGTGTGTGTGTGTGTGTGTGTGTGTGTGTGTGTGTGTGTTAATAATGTCTTTTTAAAGGCTTTGTACTTCATATGTTTTTAGCTTACTACCGACTCAGTGGATTTAAATATATTATCTCCCCCTGCTGGTTGCTGGTATTGTATTTTTATACACATTAGAGGCAGCCTCAAAGACGTCCTTGGAACCTTTGTGTGAACATATGGAAAAATCACAGTTTGTTTTTATTATTTTAATCAGAATCAGAACATTTATTAATCCCTGAGGAAATTATATGGTTACAAGATAATAACAGTAACAGACTTAACTAAATTAAATAATATATTACAAACTTTACAAAACTCTAATGAAAGTGTCCTTCCATGTTCAGGAACCACACTCAGCAGCGTTTCTGCACAGCCACTATACATTAGTTACCTTTTGATCTGGATTTTGCATTGAATTCTTTTCTAGCCACTTAGATGCTCTGAGGTTATGCAGTCTTTTATCATTTTTTTTTTAGTAAGGTAATTAGATATAAGGCATTCAGTGAGTGCACAATTGCCAGTAATAAGTTGGACTCACTATTGATGGATGTTGGGAATGAGTGCTCTGCCAGGGCTACCCTTTGTCCCCTTTGTTTTTGATTCATAATTTTTCTGGACAGAATTTCTCGGTGCAGACTTAAGGGTTCCACCCAGGTGGCCTCAGAATTTCATCTCTGCTTTTTGTGGTTGGTGTGGCCCTGTTGGTTTCATCCAGCTTGGGCTGGAGAAGTTCACATCCAATTGTTAAACAATGAGAATGAGCATCAAAGTCTGAGGCCATGGTCCTTAGCAGCAGTAGTCACATCGACATACCATACTGTATGAGTGTACTTTTTTCTCTCTCTCTTTTCTTCAGACTCTAAACAGCTTCTCTACCATCTTCTGACAAAGTCAGTTACTTTCTCAATTATGTGTTGAAGAAATAAAATAAATAATATGAAATCTTATTGCAGTATACCTCAAAAGAAATCAACTTCTTTGTTTTTTTTTCTCCAGGGAAAGAAACTTACCAAAATAAGGTCAGTGTTGAAATGAGGCGTTTGTCCTGAGCTGCTCCACCCTTTCACACAGTCTTTGCTGTACATTTAAATAATTTTACAAAAATGTTCAGTGAGTTGTTTTGTCTTCACCAGAGCACCTAAAAATGCAAATCTATCAACTGTGAAGAATATTGCAATTTTGACACATTTTTTTTAAATATCACTCAGCTAAGGTTGTTGTCCGTTGTCAACTCAACCTGTGAGTTACAGACTGATGAACACTATGAGCTGATTGAGTAAGACGACACAAACGTTTTGAACAGGAAATGTTTTTAAAGCCTTCTGTGGAATGACGAAATACTGGACAGTATTGGAGGGGTGGGGAGAATTCAACTGATATCCTCCAGGTTTCCTGGATGATACAAGAGAAGAACATAAAAGCAGCAAATCCAGTGCATAACACTCAGAATACTTTCATCCCTACATACAGAGTCAAACATCTACTGTAGGCTATCAGGCATACCATTTGACATGGTGAGTGGGGTATCAATTTAAATATTGTTCTTTTTAGGGCAGATTTCAGTAAAAATCAATTCAGCTTTAATTTAATGAACTTTTTTTTTATATGATGTTTACAGAATTCCTGCTTTGGACTAATTCAGACCCATGGATATAAGAGCTCGTGGATCAACTTCGCCTTTATTTGCTTAAGTATGTATATTTAATGCAACCACACCTTTAGTTAATTAAAAACCTTTACAAATAATTTCTAAAAAATCCATCCTTTTTTTTAACTACATTTGCATCTAATAAATATTGCTGTTCTCTATCCTTAGTGCTGTGCATGTGGACTAGTGTAGAGTGCTGGTCTTATTTCTATTCAAACAACACAATGACATGGGAAAATGCACGAAGCTGGTGCCAGGAGCACTACACAGACATGGTGGCCATCCAGAACCAGGAAGAGATCGAGCATCTTAACAACTGGCTGCCCAAGAAAAATGGCTACTACTGGATTGGAATCCGTAAGATCAATAATGTCTGGACCTGGGTAGGAACCAACAAGCCTCTGACAGAGGAAGCAACCAACTGGGCAGAAGGAGAACCGAACAACAGCAAGAGTGACAAAAATGCAAAGATCAGTGAGGACTGTGTGGAGATGTACATTAAAAGAGATAAAGAACCAAGCAAGTGGAATGACGAGAGATGTACAAAATCAAAGACTGCTCTGTGCTACACAGGTGAGCAAAAGTTTGGGACTAACATACTAGAGCAGCTTGTTTTAGCTGCTTCATGTTTGATATTCTTGTTCATATTTTCACTGATCTAAAAGCTTGCAATTATTTATTTGACATGTTCTTGTAGTATAATCAGTGTTGGTCAAATTACTTGAAAAAGTAATTAGTAACCAATTAAAAAAGTAATCCTGTTACTTTACTGGTTACTTATTTTCAAAAGTAATTAGTTACTTAGTTACTTTTGAAAAACATGATACACAACCTTAATAGGTAATACAAAAATAGACCTTTCAGCCCAATTCTATTGTTTATGCAGAATCCATCATATAAAATGTAATCAAATGGAAAGGCTCTTTTTAAAATTTGTTTTATTAGTTTTAATCTTTTAACTTTCTGCACATTGCATCAAGCAAAAAGTTATTTATATGCAAACATGTTTGACTTGAAGAAATTTGTTTAACATTTAAACCCATTTTCTACACATTCCAGCACATAAAATAAAATATTTTTTTGTGTTTACACTCAGTCTTTGAAATAGATGCAAGTAAAACACAGCAAAAAATAAATAAAATCAAAGACTCAGCAGCACTGAGTTACTGTAATGCGTTACTGCTCATCTCTGCATATAATTAAGAAGACTTATGAAAGTACATTTGCTTTCTGCAGCGGCTTGTAAGAATAACTCCTGTTTGCATGGAGAGTGTGTTGAAACCATCAACAGCCACAAATGTGATTGCTTTGAAGGGTTTTTTGGAGACAAGTGTGACCAAGGTATGAAAAAAAATGACTGCCTAGATTAAATCATATTTTAAGTCACGTAAAGGATTTGATATCTAATTGTGTGTTTTATTTGTTTTCAGCTGTGCAGTGTAACAAAAGCGAAGTTATTGCCCCAGAAAAAGGATCCCAAAATTGCTCTCACAAGTATGGTAGTTTCACCTATGAATCCTTGTGTCAGTATTCCTGTGAGGAAGGACACAAGCTGAGTGTGCAGAAATCTCTAAGGTGTACTTCCTCAGGGAAATGGTCAGAAAAGCCACCTTTGTGTGAATGTGAGTTGGAAATCTACAGTAACAAGATAAATGAAGAGATGAGACATTAACCAGTAGCTACTAAAATTCTGAGATGCTATATTTTATTGATTGTTATTATTTTCTACACAGTGATGGAGTCATGGCGTAATGCTTTTTTCCCCTCTGCTGTCTACAGTGATTCAGTGTGAGAAGATGTCAGAGCCGACACATGGATCCATGAAATGCTCCGATCCTCTGGGCT